GTCAAGACCGGCGCCTCCGGATGAGTTTTTTTAAGGATGTCCACCTCCAGCAATATGGAGGGCGGAGAAGTGATGCTCATAACAACGAGCGTAGTGCAGGACGAGTAAAATGCAGCAAGTTGGAACAGTAGGGAGCACAGGTGGTAGATCTGCCAGTCATCCCTGTCACTCAACCCCTGGCACCTTTATCTATCCTGTAACCTCCTGCCCATGAGCCTTCGACAGTCCACGTGACCTCAATGTGCACTTAGCCTGGCACAAGCACTTTGTTGACATCACCAATTTTTAGTGGCGAATGGCTGTTATTGTCGGGGACATTACGTCACGGTGCGATGACGTCACAGGATGTGACGTCATGCGAACCTTCTGGTGCAATGACGTCACAGGAAGTGACGTCATGCACGTTGGGCGGGGCGATGACGTCATGTCTCCAGGGAGTACTTCAGCTGGAGCCCGAGACGTGAGCGGGGTCGTCGCAAGAGCCTGGGAACGTGAAGGGTGGAAGAGAGAACCAGGGGTAGGGCTGACGGAGTCTGGAGGGAAGCCAGCGTAAGCAATAGGAGTGGCGGCTCTCCTTGGTCGACCGAGGGATCAGCCAACATCGGCCGGGAAGCTAGCTGGGCTACAGAGCAGACAGAATGTGGGTCCGGATGAAGGACTGAGCATAGGACCCCTACCCCTGGGGACAAGTGTTATTCCCTAACCCAATTACGGCGTAAGCCCTTAATAAACATCTGGTGGAAGCCCCTACTGAAAATCTGCCTCTGAGTCGTCTTATACACCGCAACCTATGTATCCACCCCTTCATGTGCTGTACCGGCCTTCTTAGGTGCTTGTGGGGGCTGACGCCCACCTCCTCCTCTTCCCCCTCTTCGGCCACTTCTCGCCGAGCCCCCGCCGATCGAGTGATCGTTCCCCCCGCACCAGCGCCCTCTCTGAGGGACATGGCCAAGCGGCTGGCTCACCACCACCCGGAGTTATCCCACACACTCCCCACGTACACCACCACTAATGCAGGGGTGGCTGTGTGCACGCGCGTGCCCGTGCAGGCGCACGAGTGCACCACACCGCGCTGACATCCAGCAGCCAACACGCCGCGTAAAGCGCGCTGTGCAAACACGCACATGAGCGCAAGCACGCTTAAACAATGACAGCGAACGGGTTTTAACTCACCCCTCCCTCGCCCTATTAATAGCGCGGCGCCACTGCAAGGACGCGGGAGCTGTTAATGAATTACTACCCGCGTGCCTCACACACACGCTCGAATTACACACCACACTGACACTCTCCCCACACACACAGAAATTACACTACACCGATCTTCTGAACTGAAGTTTATTAATGGTGCATCTATAGCAAAACCTGTACGGCCTGGAGTAAATAGTCGGCGAGCAGCACCTAGCCTATTCCTATTCAATCCCTGGGTGTACTCACGGTGTTGCACGAACGCGGTGGGAGTCGGAGGGACGAGGGTACGAGAGGTCTCTGCCTGGGGTCGAGTTGTAGCAGCACTCGCCAGCGTCCCTCGGACGCTGCGAGCAGCTGGAAATTGGACCGGGCAGCTGAACGGCTGGAGGAGAACTATTCAACGTTATTCCCCTCCCTCCTTTTATGCCCTCGGAATCCAAAGATCCAGGGTCACATGGTGTTATCCTGTGTGGCCAATCAGGCGCCTACCTTTCGATTTTAAACCGATGACCCGCCCCTACCTGGAGCCTTGCTTCTCATTACGCCTCGATCCATCGTCTACGCCCCCGTCCTCCCACTCCGTCCCGTGGCATACACAGCTGCAGTCAGTCCAGGAATTTCCCTCCCACATCCTCTTATGCGCTGCTTGCTGAGTGTTTGCCCTCGAGGCCCTATCTCTCGGTGCTGTGAGTGTCTCATTGCGGTTAGCCCGGTGAGCTTTGTCGCACCCATACAATTTTAAGCCAATTCACGGGGCCGCAATGCAATAGGGCCTGGGGGGGTCGGCCAATCTCCTGGCACTGGAAAACCGTGGGACATCCCCACTAGGGGCCCCTCGGGTAAAAACCCATGGTACCAGGTGACCCTCCACGAGACCCTACGTGGGTGCATGTGTATGTTTAGTGGCGGTGTGCGTGCGTTCGTGTGCAGGGGTGCGAGGGGATGGCAGCACCAGCAGAGTTGCTCCATTGCTGTGGCACCACATAGCCCCCTGAGGTGCCCGTCCCCTTCCCGGGTTGACTTGAGCACTTTGCCTGGGCCGCTCCCACCAGGTAGCGCCGCGGAGTCCGCGGGACTCGCCCGGCCCTCATTGCCGGTTTCGTGGGTGGTGGCTCCGTTCTCTGAGGCTCCTGCGGCGGTCTCCTTCTCCACTCCAAAGGCTTCTCCTGTCCTACGGCATCTGCGGGCTGGGGAACAAAGTCAGGGGCAGAGGGGTTTAGAAACCGCCGCCCCCGCCGCCTCCTGGGTGGGCTGGGGCCTCCTGGCTGGGCTGGGGCTCCCTGGGGGCTTAGGCCCCGCGGGGCTCATGTATGGCGCAAAGCCATCGGGTATGAGGGGCATGGGAGATGTCGGGGATTCTGGGGTTTTGGGGTTACGAAAGGTGGGGGTCTCTCTCGCCGGGGCCTCCCTCCATGGTTTTAATCGGCGAACGTTGACCACCGTCTCTCAGCCCCTCTCCGTGCCCTGGATCAGCACTGTCCAGGGGAGATCTGCCGCACCATGGTCCAGGGTCCGTGCCAGTAAGTGGTCAGCTTCCCCACCTGTCCAGCCCCTACGCGCGGGGTATGCAGCCATACCTTACAGCCCACCGAGTAGAAGGGGGGCTCCACACGGGACCAGGCACCCTGCCTTTGCCACTGATGTGCGGCCTCCCCCTGTTGGTAGGCCCAGCCACGAGCCCCTCGCAGGGTCCCCATCAGGTGCTCTATGAGCTGGCTCCCTTCCTCCGGTTGCGGCAGGGGAACCCTGAACAACAGATCTGCTGCTAGGCGAGACTCACGACCAAACATCGTTAGGAACGGGTCTGTCCCTTAGATGTGTTTACCGTGGTGGCGTAGGCGAACAGGGCATAGGGGAGGTGTTCATTCCAATCCTGTTTATTGGTGGCCACCATACGTTTGAGCTTCCTGGCTAAGGTCTCTTTCATACGCCCGACCATACCATTCGCCTGGTGGTGGTATGCCGTAGTTCGGTCCTTCTGGATTCCAAACTCCCGGCACAGTGCCTGAAATAGCTCTCTGCTTTGAAATCACTACCCTGGTCAGTAATGACTCGTTCGGGGATCCCATGTTTAAGCACGTAATGCTCCACAAATGCCGGGGCTACCACAAGGGCCGTTTTATTGGGGATGGCCACTGCCACTGGATAGTGCGTGAAATACTCCACCGCCACAAAAATATACTGGTTGCCTCGGTGGGATCGTGGGAATGGCCCCTGTAGGTCGATCCCAACTAGCTGGTTTGCCCGGCTGACGCGGAATGGCCTCAGGGGCACCTGATACCCCGCCGGTTGCTGCCCACACTGTTGACAAGCACGGCGGCCCTGTACCCAGGCGGCCATGTCTTGTGCCAGTTTGGGCCAGTGATACTGGTGACGCAGGGTCTCCCGAGTGCGCCGTTCCCCGTCATGGCCCCTGAGCGGGTGGTCGTGCACCAGCCGTAGCAGCTGGGGCCGCACCTGGGTGGGAACACAGATGCACCCCGGTTGCCCGGAATCTGTTAGTTCCTGCACCACCCCGTTTTTTACACACAACCGGGCATACAAACGACTCCAGGGTCCCTGCAGAGCGACCCCCAACGCCGCCAGGTCCGGGTCCCGCTGCTGGGCCTGTCTTCGCTGCTTGTCATCCAGGCCCGGGAATGCACAGCCGATGTCCTCTTGGATCCGACCGGGCGGGGCTGAGCGGCCCGTCGGGCCCCGGGGTGTGGGCCCCATGCCCGCCGGGCGGTCCACTGGGTTCCTGGCTCCTTCTGCAGGGACCTCAGCGGAGGGGGGTTAGTCTCAAGGCGCTTCAGAGGGGCCGTTTTTCCCCTCCCTCCTTTTATGCCTTCGGAATCCAAAGAACCAGGGTCACGTGGTGTTATCCTGCTCGACCAATCGGGCGCCTACCTTTCGATTTTAAACCGATGCCCCGCCCGTACCTGGAGCGTTGCTTCCCATCACGCCTCGATCCATTGTCTACGCTCCCATCCTCCCACCCCATCCCGCGGCATACGCAGCTGTAGTCAGTCCAGGAATGTCCCTCCCACGACCTCTTATGCGCTGCTCGCTGAGTGTTTGCCCTCTGTGCTGTGAGTGTCTTATTGCGGTTAGCCCGGTGAGCTTCGTCGCGCCCATACAATTTTTAAGCCAATTTCAGGTGCCTGCAATGCAATTTGGCCAATCTCCTGGCACTGGGAAACCGTGGGACATCCCCACTAGGGGCCCCTTGGGTAAAAACCCATGGTACCAGGTGACCCCCCCACAAGACCCTACGTGGGTGCATGTGTGTGTTTAGTGGGGGTGTGCGTGCGTTCGTGTGGAGGGGTGCGAGGGGATGGCAGCACCGGCGGAGTTGCTCCATTGCTGTCAAAAACTATATGGGAGATTTTTCTTGTTTGTATCTGTCTATCTTTGTATGCATAGCCTATGTGTGTGTTTGTGGCGAGCCATGCTGCACAACAAACCCGGCCACAGTTATCAATAGCACATGAGCTCTACACTGGTTTTGGGTCCTCTAGGTTGAGTCTTGTTGTATGTGTCGGGTTATGAAATTTTGATAAAAATAATAAAAATTAATAATTTTCCGAAAAATGCGCAAATCGCATTAATTATGTTAATGTGTGTATTAACATGCATAAATTATGATAATGTGTGTGATTATATTATTTTATTATGATAATCGTAGAGATAATCGTAGTAATTTATGCGGATGCTTGCGATTATGTTAATGTGTGCAGTTGTGATAATTAGTTATATCAATCAGGATAACACGATTATCGTCGATTAAACATTTACTGATTATCTTAGTGTGTTTGTTATTTTTATTTCAGGTCACCAGTTTCAGATCTCATCACAGGATACAGCTATCAAGAATAAGATAGTTTTGCATGGACTTGGAAAGAAGCACTCGAACAGTTGGTGTTAAGCAATTTTAATTCTAAACAAGCACATGACACTCTAGTATGCGAAAGCGAGTATACGTCAATAAATTCATGGGCAATCTTATGCAATTAACGAAGTTGAATGACTAAAAATACTTCTTCATTGGCGAAATTATGCAGTTAACGAAAATGAATGACTAAACATTTCTTATTCATGCAGCTCGACGGCAGCAACTGCTTTGCACGATCAGTTGATATTGAACGCACCACCTCGAAATGGCAACCCTTTTTGAAACGCAAAGACAGTTTTTCTTTTAAAGTCTTATTCGTGTGCGTGCTGTGTGCGCGTTGTCCCCTTGTAATATCAATTAATTCTTAGAGTCGGGAGTTGTGTCGTTAGCTTGTGTGGTGTGGGAGGATACGAACAGCGGCCAGAAGTTTTCTCTGGGTTGGGCGTGGCCGCCGCTCTGCTCCTGCTGCTCCCTCGCTCGGACGTGTCGCTCGGCTTTTGCTCTCTCTCTCTCTCCACTGCTGGATTGAGCGGCGTTGGCACGATGTTCCTTGAAGAAACTTGCTTGCTTGGCGCTTGATGGTTCCGGGGGCTTGGTGCTGCTCGTGCGCTCTCTTTTTCTACTGCTAGATGACGAGTTGGCACGATGCTGTCCTTGAAGATGCTCGGTCGCTCGTGTCGCTCGGTGGCGCTGGGTGGCGCTCGCGCTTTCTTGGTGGCAGCCCCCAGCTTCTCCACTGCTCGATTGATTGTTGAGTCGGCACGATGCTCGCCGTCGCTCTGGACGTCTTGTGTGTTCACACTGGTCGTTGGTTGGTGTGCCCTCAGGCACACGGCGCATTCGATGGCGCTGTCCTCTCCCTCGCAGCCGTTTGACCAGGCTTCCTCCAATGCTTCGCGCTCTCTGCTTTGCTCGCTTGGTCGACGCTTGGCGATCTCCGCCCTTTTACAGGTTGATTGCTTGTCGTCACTCGTCACTCTCTCTCTGCTCCGTGCTTCCCCTTGTTCGTGCGGCTGCCAGCTTTACTCGCACTTAACTTCGTTCTGCGAGAAGCGACACCTGCTATCGGCATCGGTGTTTCGTTTCCTCACGACGCTCCGCCAGCCGGAGCACGGCTGAAACCCAGCCCCGACCCAGGTTGAACTCAGACTTCTGCGACTCGAACGACCCCTCCTCGTTCCATCTCTCCTCGAGGCACGATTTGCCCCAGCTCTCTTGCGAGCCCTGTCGCAACGCTGCGTCGCAAGCCGAGTCGCGAGACTGAGCACGACTCGACCCAGACTGCTCTCAGGCTGCCACTTTAACGATGTCTCGTCGTCCCATCTCTTCTCGAGGCACGACTGCCACAGCTCCCTTGCGTGCCCCGTCGCAACGCTGAGCTCGACGCCGAGTTGTGAGACTGAGCACGACTCAACCCAGACTGCTCGTTTGCTGTGTGCCTGTCTAACTTAAAACGTGACTCCCTTCTTTCTGCATTCCTTGCGAGTGGGCAACAAAAAAAAAACACAAACATAGCGAGAAGAAGCAGACACCGGCGCGATCCCTCCTCGCGACCTTTTCCTAACCCTCCAAGCATTCCTGGGCCATCTGTTTGTGCTGCGGGGAGACAAAGGCGGCCGTGCTTAACTCAAACACGCGAGCACCCACTCCTCTTTCCATGTCTCTTGCGAGAGAAAACAACCAATGTCAGCACAAACCCCCCCCCTTTGTGACCTTTTTGCTCCCTCCTTGCTTACCCTGGGTGGGTCATTCTGAGGTCAGACCCCGCTGGAAGACAAAGGTGGTCGAGGAGATGTTTGCAATACATTTATGTGGTCCTGTGTGTTACATTTATTCTTGAATTATATTTTATGAGTTCCTTCGGTCTTAGTATCGTGGTTATCATTCGTCTATGTTTAATGAATATTCGTAATGCTCCTCGTCACATTATTACCTTGGGGCTTCGCCCAGTTTAGTTCTCCAGAGATTGGTGTTTATTCCGAGTTATTTTTTTTAAGCCCTCTGGAATTCGCACTCTTTAGCTGTTTTGGAAGGTCGTGTAAGTAGGAAACATATAATAATAGTAAAAATATTATTGTTTGTTGGTTAATTATCTTTGTTAAGTTTCTACTTTTCGGTGAGGAAAACGTTAAGAAAACGCGAAGTTTCAACCGTTATTTACTCTGCACCTTATCTGTACATCTCCAGATGTCTTGGGAGGTTTAGTCCATACATCTTTTTGTCCTTCTGGATGTCTATGACCTCTTCGTGACCGAATTCCTATCATTTCAACCGCCCTCCATGTCTCATGGACTCCCGGTGTGCCCGTGAGGAGAAGTGAGCCGTCCTCATTATTAAAAAAAATATATATAGATATAATAACAACAAAAAAAAATGTTTTTCTTAATTATTCTTAATATTAATAACGGAAAACAGGGCATAGATCCAACAGTCTGCATTAAATGAGTGCCTGGTTCAATGGGTAATCAGCAGAATATATGAAACAAACGTGGCCAGGTGTGGTGCTGGCCATTTCTAACTCCCTTTGCCATGGCGGCCTTCAAAGGGGCTCAATAACAGCACTTGCCCCACCAGTCTGTGGAGCTACATGGGGGATTCATCTTCTTGGTTCTTTCGGTAAAGTCACGTAGAAGGGAAAGATAAAAAAATAAAAATAAACCAATAAAATAATTCTCACGACGTTTCGGCCACAACGCAAGCAGCCGTCCTCAGGTGAAGAACAGGTCTGTCGGGAAGACAGCGTCTGAATGAAACACCACCATGCTTGGAGCGTATATTTAAGCTGGGTTGGAGGGCGAAGAGCGCTTTGACAAAAGAATTAGCAAATTCTTTATTATTATTATTTTATTATTTCCCTTCTACGTGACTTTACCGAAAGAACCAAGAAGATGAATCCCTGCAGTCACGAAAGCTTGAAATCGAAATTTACATGGGGGATGTTTGTGTTGGAGCTCGTGCTGTAGGCGTAGAAGACGCGCGGCTGTTGATCCTCTAGGGAGCGCGCGTCTGCTGTGTGTAGCGTGGAGCTGCACGAGAGTGAAGCCAATAGAGTTGTTGTGCCTTGGGCGTAAACATCAATGGATGTCCATTTGCCAGTTGTAATTTTTTTAATTAGTCTTGTGTGCTGTATGAGAGAAAAAGTGACTGAGCCCACGCCCTCACCCCCATTACAGTGTCTCCTTGTACTATTTTACTGCTCAGCAAGTCATATGTACAATACGATAGTGTATGTGAGGTGAGGAGGAAGGACAACAAACTAAATGCAAAACGCACTTCTAAAGAAATTACTTTCACTATGGGGACCTCATTTGCCAGTAAAAATATGATAATTGGTTCTTTACCCTTCTATCTGGCAACAAAACTTGCAAGGAGTCATGTTTGCATAGACCGCAATACCTGCAGTCATAATACAAACAAAAGAACATAACTCTGATAATGTGCACTGTCCTTGAAGTTGTGCGCCTTTTGGCGTCATCTGGTCCAACCCATATGAGACTAGGCTCGAAGGAAAGCTGTCTCGGGTGTGGACCAATCAACTTCAAGGACAGTGCACATTATCAGAGTTATGTTCTTTTGTTTGTATTATGACTGCAGGTATTGCGGTCTATGCAAACATGACTCCTTGCAAAAAGGTGTCAGTTTTGTTGCCAGATAGAAGGGTAAAGAACCAATTATCAAATTACTTTCAATCAAGTGCAACGCCCCAGTGGCTTCCAAATATCAGAAGGAAGAGAATTTCAGACGGCAGCAGAAGCGCATCTGAAAGCGCGCGATACAAACAACTGCAGGCCACCATGTGCTCCCTGCTGCCAAAGAACACAATTTGATCAAGTTGTCTCTGCTTGTTATAGCGCATTGTCGTAGAAAAAACGCTGGTTGGTTAAGTCAGACAGGCCTGTATATGTGTAGGGCTTGAGAAAGACGCGTCACGCGCTGCGTCAGTATGCGGGCACGGGGCGGACAGTGAGGGCAAACGAGGACACAGGGTGTTGATCGACTGTTGTTATTGTATAAATTAAGGTGGCGTGATAGTTAAGGGGGCTGCAGGTGGCCGGGGGTAACTGAGGACGCAGGCCGGTGATTGGACGAGAGGTATTGGTGGCTGGAATTGGCGCCGGCGTGTCGGGAACAACAACGCCACGTGGCACGGGGGCTGGGGGGGAGTGGCGTCGCGGGGGGATGACCCAATTTATTAAGGGTAATTGGTTCGGGGATAAAGGGGGAGAGCGGAGAGTGAAACGGGATTCATCTTATTTGTTCTTTCGGTAAAGTCACGTAGAAGGGAAGTAATAAAACAATAAAAATAAAACATATTGTTTTATTACTTCCCTTCTACGTGACTTTACCGAAAGAACCAAGAAGATGAATCCCTGCAGTCACGAAAGCTTTAAATCGAAAAGTGAAACGGGAGTTGGTGCCTGGGACAAGAGACGAACGGATGGAGAGACGGAGCAGCGGATGGAGTGAGTATAGCATAGGGTAGCGGTGGATAGAGAGAGTAAAGTATAGGGTAGCAGTGGATAGAGAGAGTACGGTATAGAGTAGCAGTGGATAGAGTGAGTACAGCGCAGGGTAGCAGCAGAGTAACGGACATCGTTGGAGAGAGAGACAACGGAGAGTTACGACGGAGTGAGACGACGGAGTTGATAAAGAGCAGCCGAGCTGGAGAGAGAGAGCGGAGAGGAAAGTCGCTGGAGGAGCAGAGGAGAGCGAGTGAAGCCAGCGGAGCACAGCGAGCGAGCGGGCGGAGGGACATTGAGTGATGTTGGCGGGAGAGATGTGGAACTACGATTGAATAAAGAACCAAGGAAAGACAAAGAAGCTGTCGCGTCGGTACGAGTCCTACTTATGTACAGTATATATATATATTTAGTTTTCAGCAGTGCAATACACACAGCTCAATACACAATAAGTTCAATGTATAAATATCTCAAACTAAAGAATGGGTCACTTGTGTTTACAGACATGATGTACAAAACTAGTTATAATCTCATGCTCTGCGTGCTGTTGTAAATGACCGTGGTGCATGCTCACTGACCAGATGCTTCATTATTATTGATACAAATTTTTAATGTTAAATTAAGAATTTTTTAATTAAATTCGTACGTAAAACAAATAGGGAGGTGTTCATCCAGCGATAGAGAGACAATGGCTTCTGATGATGGTGTAACGTGCCGTTCATTTTGGAGGACTCTGAAGAGACAGTGTAAGTGGAGATTTAAATGCATAGGAAGGAGGCTGCACAGACTGGACCACTGCTGTCCTGGATGAGTGATTTATTTAACATAATGAACATCACAGTAACACTGACGCTGCCTCATGTGTGTACTTTAAGTTTTGGCTTCCCCACTAAATTCCGTGCAGGGTATGTGACGTCATACCACTGATAGACAACCTCAGAGCGCCCTCTACCCACAGTGATAGCATGGGAGTGCCCACTACATAGGGACCACCCAGGATCAAACCTGGCTCCCACCCTCTGCTGCTCCACCTCCATCATAATCGTCACTCAACTAGAGGTGACGCTATCCCGATCATTGCACATTACAGCGCAATTCCCCGTCTGTGTGGCATCACGGTGGTCGAGGCAGTGAGCGCGTGGTGTCACGCCACTGCTTAATCTGCTAAACCTGTGTGGTGTTTTATATTAGGTTTACATTTAATATTATTTGTCTTAATGTTTTGTTCATATGAATGTTCATATGCTTGCACTGAAGAGTGTTTCGATATTCCTAAGGTGTTTAGATGCTATTTAATTCAATTACATTAATTCAAATACATGTTAAGCTTACAGTACCATTTAAATAACGTAATGTATTCACAATCAAATACCTAAAGTCAAAATTCTACTTAACCGAGACGAAACTATTTTTGGTATAGACATTTTATTATAATAATAATTATTATTTTCCCATACCTGGCTAAAATTACACGACTATGCTTACAGGTGGCACGTGGTTTGTTTTAATGTTCTTCAGGTGACTCCATGCATTTGTCGTGATGGCATCAAAAGATCCTGCATATGAGATCATTAGAACCAACAAAGTGAAACTCCTGCAATGTCTCCAAGTGCAGTCATCAAAAGTGCTTGACCATTCACAACAAGCAGGGATAGTCCTGTACAGTGAATACGCGTTCCTCAAAAGCGAGAATGACCCCATTGCACGAACACGGCACCTGGTTGACCTGGTGCTCGACAAGGGAGAAGATGTGTGCATGAGATTCATTGAAGCCGTGCTGGTGCCGCTGAGATCCGAGATCCCTCTCTTGGATCAGTGGATATCACAGCATGAGCAGCAGCTCAACGTGATAGGTGTCGATCTGAGCAGAACTGCGGGTAAAGCCATCCCTGGAGCAGCTTCTCGTGAGTGCTAAACTTCACATAGCCATTCGCATGTCTTGAGAAAGTTTAGGTGAAGGAATTCCTTTGAACTGAGATGAATTGTCATTTAATAATAGCAAACTGCACAACCCTTGCATGACAACATTCCTCTGAGGAGGACATTTCTATTCCATTCCATATCAGGGAAAGTACCATTGATCAGCAATCTGGAGGAAAGGATGGATGGATAATGAAAATGTGTGTAAATATAAAAACCTTATTACCACACTGGTCCCGAACATTAATTAATTCGTCAAAACCAACACCTCCCTTTCCTTGGAAAATACTTAAACATGGTGATTTTCTCCCACCTCTTCAGACACAAACATTGTATTTAAGCTGAAAGAATGTAATGAGCTATGACGCTCTCTTTCATGTATCAAGCCAAGATGTTTGGCAATGGCAACAAACCCATCTGCTGCCATGGTCTCCATGACTTGGTACAATCTGGATTCCACCAAGGCCATGTCATTGAAACTTCCCCTATGCATGGTGAATGACCACATCTGGTAAACTATGGATGCTACTTCTAGTTCTTGACCTTTGCGCTGCTTTTGACACCACACACTGCTCCATCCTCTTGAATCGTCATGGCTATGCAGGTGTGTCTGACAAACGTCTCTCCTGGTTCTGCTTCAAACTCTGAAATGTATTCATATTTTTCCATGCAAGGACTGTCTTCTGTTCAGAAGCCCTACTTCTGTGGTGTTCCACATGGCGCAGTCCTTGGCATTCTGCTCTTCGTAGTACAATCTCCTCGTTTTGAGAAAAAAAATGATCGACTATCACTGCTCTTTATGAGGACACCCAGCCTTATATTGCCATTGACTCATATAACGGAACCTACTGTCCTATAACACCGTGACTTGGATTGGTTATAACTTCCTCCAGATAAAATGTCAATATTTAAGCCCTCATCGTCTGTAAAAAGTCCACTCTAACTCATGACCCCAAGTATTTGATTACGGAGAGATTACGGAGAGATTAAAATAACACCATCAAAGTTATGAGCCATTGAGTTAGATGTTACCTTGGAAAGCTGATGAAATCTGTCGAGAAAATCTGTCATTAGGGAAATCTCCACTCTCCCCAATCTAGTGTATGCCACAGTGCTTGCTGATGATGCAGTAGCCAGATTAGTTGATTAGTTGAAGTTCAAGTGAACCTACGATGCATCACGTGGGATGCTATGAGTTCTGTGATTCATGGCTCTGCCATTGTGCAAGGACAATGGTGGAGCCAGGATTTTCAGGTAGGGGGGGTAACCCCTCCAGCAATAAAAAATGATAGGAGTTTTGTGGGGGTCGCTAGCCCCCGAGATCCCTCCCTCGATAATGTTAACGGCCGGGCTAGCATCATCAATCGCCCCCCCGCTGCTAAGCGAACCGCTGCTAAGTTCCTCACCCATGGGGTGGGAGCCGTCGCCCGAGGATTCCACTCCACCGCGGGTCCGCGTAGCAGGCATGGTTAATTACGTACGCGCACACCCACACACACAGCTCCGTACGGCACTCACTCTTGCGCTTCTCTGCGCCGCGCTGGCCGCTCACGTTACAATCGCGCACCTGGGGTACGCCGATTTCGCACGACGAGAGCTTACGCCTACACCGTACTACACGCGTTCACACTTATAACACGTAACGAGCACACGCAAGCGGGGCACACGCCGACACAACGACTAAAGTCGCCGCCGCCGTGCGCGCGAGATAAACCGTACAACAATGCGCAGCCGATTACGCTATGATCGCGCACCTGGGGGACGCCGATTACGCACGCTGCGAGCTTACGCACACACAGTACCACACGCGTTCCCACACGCTCACACTGCACGACAAGATCACGCGAGACCACGCTTCGCTATTAATGATTTATTACCTGATAACTAATGTTGAATTAGTGAGTCGACGAGGCTGGCCTATTCCACTAAACCGGCACCTATTCCCTATTTATCGGCTATGATTCTAATTCCCCTTCTTACTCACTGTTAAGTGTCCACGGCGGTCCGCTGATCCTTGTGTTAACCGCGTGCCTCGGTGCGTCGCACGGACGTCCGGGTCGCTGGCTCGAGCTGCGTCTGGTCGCCTGGCGCTGGAGTAAGAGAGCGATTTCCCCTCTGCGCTCCTCTATTTATCCTCCCTACCTCCCAAAGGGGATGCTGCGCTGAACAATGGGCTCGTGCACCCCAAGCCCGCGCACGGCAGTCCCCAGGCGCTGTTGATATGCTAATCAGTGTGCTGCGTGCAAGGCGTAAATCCTAATTACTCCCTTACCCTTCCTACCAATGGGGCTTGCGCGCTCAAGCGCAATTATCCCAACCCTCCATGACTATGCGCAACAGCCCCTGTGACCCCGCTATTCATGCTGTCCCGTGCCTCCCCTGCTCGCCCCGTCGACCCGTGGGAGTGTGTGTGGGGGGAAATGCGCCTCAACCGCGGTGGCCGAATGCCCCACGCCACGACCTACCATATTAAGGCCGGCCGCAGCGCCGCGGTGCCACGTAGCACGGGGAGGTCATCCAATTCCCTGATCGCCGGAAACCGTGAGAATTAATCCCGATAAGGGTCTCTCGGATAAAAACCGGTCGATCAGGTGACCTTCCCTTCCAGCTCTATGGGGGGGGGGAATGCGTGCGGGTGTGTGCTTATGTGGGGCGGGTGATGGGGGGCAGTGCGGTGGGGGAAGCCGGGCGGCTCCCTGGTTCGGCAGAGCGGCCCCGTCGTTGTGGCACCACATAGCCCCCCGGGGTGCCAGTCCCCGTCCCGGGTTGACTGGAGCACCTCGCCTGGGTTGCCCCCACGAGGTATCGCCGCGGGGTCCGCGGGATTCGCCCGGCCCTTGTGGCTGGCCTCGGGGGTGGCGGCTCCGTCTCCTGGGGCTCCGGCGGTGGTCTCCTCCTCCATTCCAACGGCTCCCCTCGGCCTCTGGCACCTGCGGGCTGGGGAACAAACTCAGAGGCGGTGGGGTTTAAGGGTCGCCGTCCTCGTCGCCCCCGGCCCCGCCCGGGGCCCCTCGGAGCCCGGGGCTCCGTGGGGCCCATGTACTGCGCGAGGCCCCCGGGCACGGGGGGTGGGGGGACCCCGGGGTTTCGGGGTACTTGGACGGCGGGGCTCCCCCCCTCGGGGGCTGCTCGCCACGGCTTCAGTCGGCGGATGTTGACCACCATCTCCCGGCCCCTCTCTCCTCCCTGAATCAGCACCGTCCATGGTGAGATCTGCCGTCTCACAATCCAGGGTCCTCGCCAGTAGGTGGTCAGCTTCCCCACCTGTCCGGCACCGACGCGGGGAGTGTACAGCCACACCTCGGAGCCCGCAGTGTAGAAGGGGGGCTCCATACGGGGTCGGGCGCCCTGCTCTTGCCGCTGGTGCGCGGCCTCTCCGTGCGGGCAGGCTCGGCCCCTGGCCCCTCGCAGGGTCTCCAGCAAGTGCTCCACGGGGTGGCTCCCTTCCTCCCGTTGCGGCGGAGGAACACCGAACAGCAGATCTGCGGGCAGGCGAGACTCGCGACCAAACATCATTAGGAACGGGGTCTGTCCTGTAGAGGTGTGAACGGCGGTGGTGTAGGCGAACAGGGCATAGGGAAGGTGTTCGTCCCAGTCCTGTTGATTCGCGGCCGCCATGCGTTTAAGCTTCCCGGCCAGAGTCTGGTTCATCCTCTCTACCATCCCGTTCGCCTGGGGGTGATACGCCGTGGTTCGGTCCTTCTGGATCCCGAACTCTCGGCACAGCGCCTGAAATAATTCGGCCTCGAATTCACTACCCTGGTCGGTAATGACTCGTTCGGGGATCCCGCACTTAAGTACATAGTTTTCCACGAAGGCCCGGGCCACTACAAGGGCTGTTTTATCTGGGATAGCCACCGCCACGGGGTAGCGGGTGAAGTATTCCACCGCTACGAGAATATATCGGTTGCCCCGGTGGGATCGTGGAAAGGGCCCCTGCAGGTCGATTCCGACCAACTGATTCGTCCGACTGACTCGGAACGGCCTCAGGGGTACCTGGTACCTCGCCGGCTTTTGCCCACACTGCTGACAGGCCCGGCAGCCCTGCACCCAGGCGGCCACATCTTGTGCCAATTTGGGCCAGAGATACTGGCGACGCAGGGTCTCCCGGGTGCGCCGTTCCCCATCATGGCCCCCGAGTGGGTGGTCATGCACCAGCCGTAGCAGCTGGGGTCGCACCTGGGCAGGAACACAGATGCCCCCCGGCTGGCCGGCCTCGGTTAACTCCCGTACCACTCCGTTCCGCACACACAACCGGGCATACAAACCGCTCCAGGGTCCTGGTAGGGCGCTCTTTTCCTCCCGCAGTGCCGCCTCCACTGCCGCCAGATCCGGATCTCGCTGCTGGGTCTGTCTCAGCTGCTCGTCGTTTAGGCCCGGGAAGGCGCAGCCGACGTCCTCCTGGATCCGTCCGATCGGGTCCCGAGCCGCGGGTCCCGCGCTTGCCGGGCGGTCGACGGGATCCTCAGTGCCACCTGTGAGGGTTTCTGTGGCGCACACTGCACTCTCCCTCGCTGGGGCGGGGTCAGTGGCCGCGGCCTCTCGGGGGTCCGTTGCCTGCCGGCAGCGTCCCGCCGTGAAACACGGGCAGGCCTCCTCCGCCCTCGTCTCGGCGTACACCGTGGGTCGCCTCGATAAGGCGTCCGCGTTTGCATGCGTCCGGCCAGCCCGATACTCGATTTGCAGGTTGTACTCCTGCAACTGCGCCAACCACCGGGCCATCTGCCCCCGCGGCTCCTTGAATGTAAGAAGAAACTGCAGAGCATAATGGTCAGTGCGTACGCGACATCTCCTGCCGTACAAATACGGTCGGAACTGTTTGCATGCGAAAATCACGGCGTACAACTCTTGGCGGGTCACGCAATAGTTCAGCTCGGCCCCACTCAAGGTCCGGCTGGCGTACGCGATGACTCGTTCCGCCCCATCCTGTACCTGTGACAACACCGCGCCCAGCCCGCTGCTGCAGGCGTCGGTGTCCAAAATA